CCATAGTGTGTCTTTATGGCTATATAATAGGGAGTGTGTGCTTTGACACCCGAGGACAGGACAGGGTCTGGACTTTCCGTGGAAACAAGTGGAACAAACCACATTGGTCAGGGTTGCATTTGTTCTTGAAATAACCACAGACCTTGACCTGATCCTGGCTTCTGTATCAAAACGAATCTGGAGGTGGCAGGTCTGCCTGCGGTGGAGCACGTGTGCAGTTGGACTGTCAATGCCCAACTCTACCCAGGTGGGTCATCTGTGTAGGGTCTGGAGGAAGAGCAAAAAAAATTCGTTTTTGAAGCGTGCCTTTATAATTTGTATATTCTTACTCACCTAGCAGTTCCCTGGTGGCGTCATGGTTATGCCTCTGTCTGCTAACTGCAAAGTCAGCCGTTTGAGACCATCAGCCGCTCTTGCAGGAGAAAGAGGGGGGACTTCCTCCTCTGTAAACAGGTAAAGTCTCAGAAACTCACCGGTGGCGGGTTCCGCTTTATACCCTGCCTGTAGGGTCACTGTAAGTTGGCTGGATTCCACGGCGGGCGAGTTTGATTTTCCGTGCACTGCAGCTGGAGCAATGTGCATTTTCAGGCGTGAAGTCATAGGGGGCGCCCAAATCGAATTTTCTGAACAAACGAGGAAAATGACGTTCAGCTACACTGGAATTTTCAAAGGATTCTCTAGTAACAACGTTTTATGTGCACTGATAGCAACTTGATTATGAAATATTTTCACAGAGTGGGGATAATTGTTTTAATATTTAGTAATTTTCACTTGAAAAAAACGGAGGAAAACAAACATACCAACCCAGATAAGGTTTGGATGCGATCAAATTTAATTTTGTGACCTGGTTGCAATCAACCGCGTGGGAGACGTCACTGACGTCCTCTGGCTTCGACGTTGCCCAGAGGCAGTGGGCAGATATGCCTCTGTGCTCCCTCCTCCTCCTCCTTAGCAGTTTTATCTGCACTTCATCACATAGCATACAATTAACTAGTTCAATCCTACCAAGATCAGTTTGTATAGGCATTACTACAGAACATTTTCTTCTTCCTTATACTCATTGTTCTTAGTGTAATTGTTACTTTTTAAATGGTGGTAGACAAATCTCAAATTCGATAACTTCTACATGTATAATTCAGTGCCATTGATTATACTTTTTGTGTTGTACAACCATTATTGATGTAATTTTCTAAATTATTCCACCACCATTAACATAAACTCAATGGTCCCTAAGCAAAGACTCTTCCCTCTTCACCCATGGAAACCTTTGGTTAAGTCTGGTTTCTTTCTTTTTTGTAGTTGCCTTGATATGATATTCACATATCATACACTCCCGTAGTTAGATCACTTAAAAAAAGAGTTGTATATATATATCATGACAGTTCTAATGCTCTCTTCTCCCTCCTGCATTCATTGTTTGCGCTCCAATTTCCCTCCCCCTCCCCTCTCCTCATTCCCATAAACCATTGCATCCGTACTTGTCTCTATGCGTCCATTCCTTCTGTGCTTCATAAACTAGGAAACCTCACAGAAACAATAAAAAACAAAAAATAAAATGAAACAGACAGAAGGTAGTAATAGTAATAATGTAAAGACAAAAATAAAGAGTAAGAATGCAAAGACCACCAACAGAACAAACAAGAAATATTTGAACCTAAAGCAAATTCAGGTTAGGTCAAGAGGGAGGTCAACTGACTAAGTACCATATCATACCATAATCAAGTTTACAATAATCTCTGTCTGATAGTAAAGCTCTTGGAGTCCTTGCCTGTGGCCAGAGGATATCTGCCAGAGGTGTAATCTGACTAGGTATTCTGCAGATGGATTTTGGGCTCTCACTGTCCTCCATAGCCTTCTATAAATTGGGTGTTCACAATTTAAGCTCTGCTCCTTTTTCCTTCATCATATTTGGATTTTGTTATTAATATCTTTGGATCACACAGGTTGCTGTGCTTCTTCAATGTGGACTTATGTGAGTTGATGCCCCACTTAGATGGCTGCTTGTTTGAATACAAGCCTTTAAGAAGAACCCCAATTGGTAGCCAGACACCATCTGCTTTCTTCACTACACTTTGCTGCAGCACCCTTATCTCCAGTGACCTTTTACTAAAGGCAGGTATTGAGCAGGGCCCTGTTATGAGTGAACTGTTCTTCAATTGGGGCTAGAATTAAGTGGCTCCATCCTTCTTTACCTATTTGGATACCAACTGTTCCTCCCACAAGCTTCTACTTCTGTGTTGGGCTCAGTCATTCGTTGCAAGGGCTACACACAACTCACAAACAATACTCACCATTATAGAGGCTTATTAGGCAGGTTAATAGATCACCACAAATAAGGATATAGCCATTGGTTCACAGCAACACCTCTGTTTAGACAGCAACCCAGTGCCGCTCTGGTTCTCAGCCTCAGCCCTGTGGCGGGCGACTTCCTGGGCCAGGAAACCCGCCTGTTGCTCTATTTCAAAGTTCTAAAGTCTCGAGGCTGTTCCTCTTGCTCTGTCCAGCCACAGTCTCTGATGCCTCTGGTCGTGGCATCTGCTACTTCACGCAAATCTGGAACATGTTCTCCCCATGGTCCTGGGCTTTCTCCCCCTCTGCTCCTGCTTCAAAGATGCAGGGACCCTTCTAACCTGTGGATGTTAGAACAGACTGATCTCCTCTATTAGTGCTACACATGCCCCGTGTGCATAGTCCCACCCAATAATTTCATGGGAGTTACAGAAAAATGGGTAAACTAAAACCACACCCACTGCCATCAAGTAAATTCTGAGTCCTGATGACCCTATAGGACAGGATAAAAGTGTCTCTGTGGGTGTCCAAGACTGCAACTCTTTACAGGAATAGATAATATAATAGGATAATAGGAGACAAACTCTATCTCCTTTTACCAGCACAATTCAGTAGACCTGCTTAAAGTTAGTGATGCCTGGGATCCATCTGGTTAACATAACCAGATGACATAAAACCTTACTCATTTCTCAGACCTATCACTGCCACTGATGAGGTGGAATCCAAGCTTCTTTCAAAATCTTATCTGGCTGTTTCTGAGAACTGCCTCCCATTCAGTCACCACGTGCTTTCTGCTTCCTCATTTGCTTCAAATTGAGGCTGATGGGCTCTCTCCGCAGCCACGCCCATGGGAGCTCTGATCCTCAAGCCTGTCTCATCACCCCTTGTCCCCAGAGGAATGGCAGGCACGGCCTAACTACCACTCCTGCACCCAGTTGCTGAGGTTTGGTGTGAGTCAGGGATCAAGACTGAACGGTTCCTGGGGGCTCTCAGTGTGCCCCAGGGATATTGAGGTGGTAGAAAGGCCCCTCTCTCTGTGTTCCTAGGGGCAGAGCTTCCCACTTCCTGTGTTGCTCTCAACTCACAGCTCCCCTGCATAAGGATACATGCATGAGCGGGGTGGAGGGAAGTGGCAGGAGTAATGGTAGAGGTGGTAGTGGGGGATCTGTGGCAAAACCTAGGGGACAGATAGATGGGAGCAGCACTGCAGACCATCACTCCATTAGGCAGTGCTGTGCAACTCCAGTACCTTCCCCCTCCCCCCTGAATCCTACTCCCACCTCCATGCAGATTGATGGTTTCTCTTTTGTTGTTGTTGCTTGAGACGAACTTGTCACTAAAGACTCCAAATCCATTTAAATTATTTTCCTTTCCCCCGTGTAGATGGAAGATTTCTGCAGAGCCCCATTCACAAGCCTCCTGAGAATCTATTCTCAGTCCTTTCTGTGCGCAAGGAATCTTCCCAAAGACTGTGTCATGAAACTGAGGCACAGAAATTAAACCACTCATGTGAAGTCACAGAGGAAGCAACCAAGCTTTTAGTTGACCTGCACAGATCCCAGTCTAGACACTGCAGAGTCAACAGAGAGACTGCCCATCTCCCTTCTGACGTGACTGCTTGCCACGGGGGAGTCAAGTCAGAGCCTGCAGGCAGCTGTGGAAGAAGAAGTGTTACTTCAGCAGATTTTCCAGGTGATTTGGGCCGGGTTTGAACACCCCAGCTGCTCCATGGAAGAAAGATGTGGTAGTCTTCTGTAGAGATTGAAAGTCTTGGAAATCCTATGGGACAGTTCTCCTCTGTACCATCAGGGTCCCATTGTTATCAGGGTCAGTATGAGTTGGAATTGACTCGATGGTAGTAAGTTTTTCTAACTTTAATGATAAAGTTATATAACTTTATATACAAATATAAATGTGATATAAATAATATGATATAAGTAGAGATGTGGAAACAGATTCGTAAGTGGAAAGTGACATTGCACTAGTCACCATTAAAAAAAAAGAGAAGCATTTCAAGGTCTCTCTTGAAGTACACTGCTGTTTGTGATAAGATAATATCTATCTCAATACAAGGAAATCCAATCAATACAATTATTTTTCAGATTTAGTCAAAAAAAGATAAAAACTAGTGATGAAGAAATTGAAGAGTTCTACCAACTTCTTCAGTCAGAAATTAATCAAACATGTAATCAAGATGCAGTGATAATTATTGGAAATTGGAATGCAAAAGTTGGGAACAACAAGGAAGAAATAGTAGTTGGAAAATACAGCCTTGGTGACAGAATCGGAGCCAGAGGTCGCATAACAGAATTTTGCAAGATCAAGGACCTATTCATAGCAAATGCCTTTTTCAGAAACACAAAAAGTAGCTATACATGTGGACTTTTCCAGATGGAACACACAGAAATCTATTGACTACATCTGTGAGAAGAGAAGATGGTAAAGCTCAATATCAGCAGCTAAAAGCAGGCCAGGGGCTGACTGTGGAGCAGACCATCAATTGCTCATATGAAAATTTAGGTGAAACCTGATGAAAATTAAAACAAGTACCCTGGAGCCAAAATAAAACCTTGAGTTTGTGCCACCCAAATTTTGAGAACATCTGCAGAACAGATTTTATGCACTGAACATTAATGACAGAAGACATGATGAGTTGTGGGAGGACATCAAGGACATCATTCATGAAGAAAGCAAAAGGTCATGAAAAAGACAGGAAAGATAGAAAGGGTCAAAGAGGATGTCAGAAAAGATTCTGAAACTTGATCTTAATCACAGAGTAGCTAATGCCTTTGGAATAAATAATGAAAT